AGTGTTGTCCATTGTCTTGTAGGTATTTGAGGCATACAGCGATGCTGTCATGTTGAGGGAAGTTGGTGTATAGGAACATGACCTCCATGGTAGCAAGGATAATGTTCTGAGGGAGGATGTCAATATTGTTGAGTTTCTGGAGGAAACTGACCCTTTGTTTGGTGACTGGTTTGAGGATTGTTTCTGTGAGTCCTGATATTCCTTCTTTAAGAATGCCAGATATGGTGTGTCTGCCTGGGTTCTCTTGTTTGTATATTTTGGAGGTATTTAGAGGGTACCGGGGTGAGTACGTGGGAGATGAGTTTCTTTTGGAGTTGTTTGGGGAAGGATTTCATGATATCCTTAAATTCCTGTGTGAATTGTGGTGTGAGGTCTTCTTTGAGTTTTTTATAGTAGGTGTCAGAGTTTTGTCAGTTGGCTTTGTTGATGATGTCATCATGGTTGAGAACTATGATGGCACTCCCTTTGTCTGCTGGTTTGATCCGTATCTGGTGGTTGGATTTCAGGGATTGTATAGCTGTCCTCTCAGTGGTGGAGAGATTGTGGTAGATGTGATGTTTAAGGATTTCTCTGGAGATTTTTTTCAGGAAGTAATTGATGTAATTGTCAGGTGTGTGGTTTATGACTCTCGGTGGGGATGTGGTAGATGTGGTTGATGGACTTCTAAAACAGACAATGGTTTTATGGTTCAATACACCAATGTGACTCTATTACCCCTCCTTTATCCTATGACTGTAGAGTGTTAATTGCCCACTTCATTTTAAATGGTTTCTTTCTACATGTGTTAACCCCTTATGTTTAACAATCAGTCACACCTTGTATTTAGCTGTGACACTCTAGTTACCTTTTCCAAGCTTATAAGCTTTCGAGCTTCACAGAGCTCTTCATCTTCCATCAACAGAATTGGTTCAATAAAAGACATTACCTCATCCACCTTGTTGTTAGGACTACCTGATATGTATATTTTCAAAATATCCAAGTTTTCCCTCACCTGCTCTTTAGCAATAACAATTCAAACTTCGTTTCTGTTGTTGAAGATACTTTTGTAAAAAGTTCAGTCTGCCATTGGAGTCATTAGTTTAATTCTCCTTCCTCCTTCACTAACAGGCTTATTTCCTCTTTTGATCTTGTTTTCACAATAGAGTTGCAAAAGCGTTTCTTGTTCTCCTTTACTTCTTTTCCTACCATTAACTAACTCACTGTTCTGTACTTGTTTATTGCCATCTGCCTGCCTCCCCCCATCCCTCAAAAGCAATAACTCATTGAGTATTTTTGTTTGGTGTCACCACTGTTTCAGTTTCAAGTGTGTAAACTTCATAACTAGGCTTCACACTACTCAATATTTTTGCCAACAATCTGGAAGAAAATCAAAATCACTGTTGATTAAAATTTACAGATGACAGAGACTGGCAGAGTAGTAAAAATGATGAAGATAGGGCAGTCACAGAGAGTGATCTGGATTGCTTGGTAAGCTGGGCCCCTTCAAACATCAGTTTTACTACAGTCATATGCAAAGTTATACATCTAGGAACATGGAATGCACACTGAATCTACAGAATGGGGGACTGTACCCTAGAAAGCAGTGACTCAAAATGATTTTGGGGTCATAGTGGATAAACAACTGAACACAAACTCCAAATGCAATGTTGAGGCAAATAGGGCTGCTAAGATCCTTGGGTGTGTAAACAGGAGAGTAGTAAGGTGATTTTACCTCTCTTTACAGCATTGGTGACGATGCTGGAATACTGTGTCCAGTTCTGATGTCCACATTTTAAAAGAGGATGTTGAACATTTAGATAGGGTACAGAAAAGAGCCATAAATACTATTCAAGGGCTGGTTGCCTCACAGTAAGAGACTTAGAGCTCAATCTGTTTATTTTATCAAAAAGATTGGCAGGAAATTTGATTACTAAGAACCTTCGTGGGAAGAAAGTAGCAGGTATTGCAGGTATTGCAGCTCTTTAATCAAACAGAGAAAGGCATAATAAGAACCAGTGACTGAAAACTGAAGACAGACAAATTCAAATTAATAGTGAGATTCACCATTAGATTAGAACAAACTACGAAGGGAACTGATGGATTCTCCATTTCTTGTTGTCTTCAAATCAAGACTGGATGTCTTTGTGGAAGATATCAGGTAGCCAATATAAGTTACTGGGCTCAATACAGGGGTAACTAGGTGAAATTTAGTGACCTGTGATATACAAGGGGCTAGACTAGGTGAAGATCTAATGATCTTCTCTGTTCTGAGTGTAAACTCTCGGAATCTGTGAATGAATCCCTGAGCAGTTCCTGGATAATTCAACTTGCCACTTTTCAGTATTCAGTGATTCAATGTTACAGGGCAGATATTGGTTTTCACTGGACTTCTTATAGTTTCAGTACCTGTGCAACTCTCTCAGGAATGATAATTACAAGAATTAGAATTATAGCAGCCAGGTGCAAGACATTCCCATAAATTGCCCTTCCCTGTTGGAAAGAGAGAGAGGGCTGAGTGTGAAAGGGTAAATTCTATAGACTAGCAACATATGCACATTCTTAATCACATTGTATTGTCATTGTGGGGAAACCTTGTAAAGGAATGGAGATTAAGACTGTAATCTTGACAGATTTTATAGATTGTACAAATGGTATTGAGTTTCAAAATCTCTATTGTTGGCTTAGTTGGGTTTTCTTTCTTGGTTTTTGGAAGAAAATTGAAAACATAATTTAAAATACTTTGTTTTTATTCTTTTTAGGGTACAAAAATAAAGGCTGAAAGTATAATGAACTTGAGAAATTTGTGAGTCTGAGAACACCAACAAAATCTAAAAAGCCAAAGGAAATGAAAAATGGAGGAGAATTTTTTTTCCAAAATCTATTCTCACCTAATTTTTCACATGTTAGTAAACAGAGACAGGCAGACTATAGTACTATCAGTTGAACAATACCAGCTCATTTGGAGAAAAGAGGTGGGTTGGTTTCGCAAGGTTTCAGGAGATACCAAGATGGTGGCCTAGGTACCTTCTGTCATTGGTCAGAAGTGTGTTGAAAGATATTGTTAAAAAATCATTTATCCACTTTTCAATAAAATACAAGTATCCTTTTATGTCGTCTCTAAACAGATACTTGTAGCATTCATAATGTGCTGGGATCTCTGCTTCTAAAAATCATTGCTTGTAGCTGTTTTTTCAAGATTTTGAGCTAAAATATATTTTAACCACTTGGGTTATGCCGAACTTAAAACGAGAAAAAAATAAAGAAAATGCCCTTTAAAAAAATTGTTGAGTTGCTCAGCACCACCATTGTGGAAAGTCTGAAAAAGCAGGATTTCAAAGCTTCTGTAAATGCCATGATTGCACATCACATTTTTGTGACTGTTTTCCATTAAAAAACAAAACTATGCCTGTTTAAGTCTAACTAGAACTCAAAATGTTGCATTTTTGTGATTTCAGTGCAATTTGGCAAAAAAATTTCTATGCCTCCACCATTCCTCGCTCCTCAGTTGAACTTTTTAAAAACTTGTTGAGATAAAACCTGCTCTCTCTTGTATTGGAACACAGCAGTATCCAAGCATTTCAAGTGGTCTTTTTTGATTTGTAAACCTTTTGTACTCAGTTGAAAATAAAAGATGTTATTAAAGGAAAATAAGGGACTGTTTTAAATTTCTGGTGATAGAAGAAAGGCAGGTTTATTCTGTTGGTATATCTGTTTTTCCCCTTCTATCGAAAATTTGAATGCCCATACATATTACAGAATGTTGGATGGCTTTTGTTAAAATGCAGTACCAGGTCTAATCACATTAGTATGCATTGTGCAACAGTGGATTTAGAAGTTCCTTGAGCAAGTGCAAATTCCATTATGGAGGAAAGGGCCACACTACTCTGTGAACAGGCATACGGTCTCATTTTTAGGAGAAAAGAGACAAGACCAGATCCAAACTACAAAATCCAGATCTGACACCTGGAAGGAAATTCAGAGTTGTTTGGTTTGGGATCATTTCTGATTGGAAATATTGGATTATGGTAGTTCATATTTCCAGACACCAGATGGTGCTGCTCTTCTACTTAAGGTGTCATTTTCAGTTAATGGACACTGGGGTTAGTTCCAAGTCCTGTTTAACTTCCATGAGCCAGATTCTTCAATGCCCATTTTGACTGAGTAAAAGTTTCAGAATTTAACCCCCTGGTTTTGTTTTATTGTCATTGTACTCTGCTTGATAACTCATTGGGGATATATCATCTTCTCATATTTCATTGATACTTGAAAACTCTTATGGTCAATACCTAAGTTTTTACATCCAGTACTTTAGGTCTGATTAGGCAAAAGCTTCAGTAAGGTGATACTCAGTATTGAATGCCTCCTAAATGTGTAAAAATATATTTTGTTCATGCATGAATTGTTATTAATGGCTCAAAGGAAGGAACTTTTTATGTCCATTCCAATGCTTTGCGATTAGGTGTAATGACTAACAACAACAGCATAGAGATCAAATAACTATGTTAATAGCATAATTAAGAGTTGGTAAGCATCCACAGATTAAGTTCTGTGTGGTAGAAGCATAAACTGGCATACAAAAAACACTGACATCAAATGGCTGTGAGTTGCCCATTGCTAGCATTCAACAAGAGAAGTATTTGGTACAGTTTTGTTGCATGTCTACACTGCAGTAGATTGCTTTGTAATATCACAGTAGTAATGTGTAATCTTGCATTTTTTTAAACGGTTTGTTACTATGATAGTACGGAGCACAATAAAACACATGGGAAGAGTGAATGAATTGATTATTAACATGCTGCAGTAATTTAGCCAATTCCAAAAGAGTTTGGTACTCTAGTTCACCTTTAAACTTTAACATATCTAAAGTAGCTGTTTCTTTTTAAAAGGAACAACAAAAAGCTTTTTTTTTTTTTTATTTAAAAGTAGGTTATTTGTTTAATGCTTGATAGTGAAAGAGTAAGTATTTTGGTAGATTTTTCCCCATGTGACCTGTTTATTAATCTTTATTTCTCTTTATTTAGATCCCCATATTAAAGTCTCTGGAAAAAAAGAAAATGTTAAAGAAGCTAAGGAGAAGATCATGTCTGTCTTGGACACAAAAGTAAGAAGAAAATATTTTAAAAATTGAGTCCTGGGCCAAAATCCAGTGTGCAGGCCCCTATTTCTATGGTATAGTGACACTGAATTCTGCAGCAACTTAGGGGAAATTAAAAAGGAGATGCTTATATTAAAATTTTACATTAAAATGAATAATATGGTTAGTAAAGTGTCCCTTGGGGGGAGGAGGTGTTGACACTGAATTCAATACACTTCTGTTTGCACAAAACTGAAAAGCAGTTTCAGACTTAAGAAGACAACACTGTTTCTGGTTCCATTCCGTTCACATTTGGGGGGAAATTTTCCGTATCATATTGGCTAAAAACTTGAATGGAGTTTTCTCTTTTAAAAAAAAAAGCAAACTCCACTGCAAGTAGTGGATTATGTGGCCAATTCTGTAGTACAAAATTGTGGAAAGCATGGTGTGTTTTCCTAATTTTATGATATTTCAGAAATGAAATATTGTGTCTGAAATTAGACTATAATGAGGCTTACTAATTAAATGGCTGGGGGGGGGGAGGTGTTTTGTTCACAGATCAAGTGTTTGACAAAATTATAAATTGACAAGTCATTCTCTCTGCACTCAGATCTTATGATGTTCTTAGCATTATATATGTAAATGTTTAGGTGTAGGACAAACACTAATATTACAGAAAAACAACATGAGAACTAAAAGCTTATTTCAAAAGTGGAATTGATATTAAAAATGCAAGGTAATACTCAAAAGAAAAAGAAAAACTAATCTCACTGAGTCCAAAAGGAAGAGTCAGTTTATTATTCAGGTTCAAAATGAACAGATTCAGCAAGATAGTTTTGACATCTTGGTCTAAATCCCCTTTCTCCCTTATCCTCAGTGCTGCTCCTAGCATTTCAAACCTAGTAGTGGGACATATACTGTTGAGTTAAGCATTGACCTCAAACTGATTGAGAACTTTCCATTTCGTAGGGTAATTATTAATTTTATGGAGATAATCTTATCCACAAATCTTTTCAAAGACTTTTCTGTACTGAAACGTGCTGTAAGGCTTAAGATTCCATTATGGTCCAGGAGATAGATAGATCAATTGGTATTGGGGAACTTTTATTTATGAAGGCCTGTGACCACAAGTATACTGAAGAGAATTGTGTATCCTGTTTAAAATTACAAGTCCAATGGAGATCATTGTCTTACCTCTGGCAATTTTAAAGCAAGTCCAAACAGGCTTATGAAAGCTAAATATAAAGGCTGGATGCTCATCGTAGAGTTGGAAAATTTCCTTATATTGTACCTATTAGAATTGGCACTCATTTTGAGTCATGGCTCAAAAAAACATGAATTTATTATTGTTGTATTCTATTTTTAAAATGTTAGTTTTAGTAGACTGAGCCACACAAACTGGAGCTAGATACTGTATGAGGCCAGCTATTTCTTGAATCTCACCTCCCCGCACTAGACTTGCACTGTCCTAATTATGGGCATCTCCTGTGCAGTGGCAGTCATTTCTGTCTAGCTTTATGGTGACCTAGAGATCACCAAACTGAGGTCTTCAGAGGTAAAACATACTATTTCATTAAACCGCTTTGCTTACTAGAGAATGAGACCTGTCTTTGCATTTAGACTTTAAAAAATTATTTGCATCAAGCTACTTTATGCATTATTTTAAATGGCAGAATTACAGACTCAACCGAAAAAGAACCATATAATGAGAATCCTGAAATCTAAAAGCTAGGTCTTAATTTAAGAGAATTAAAACACTATTTTTCTAACTCTTAATCTGGAAGTTTGAAAACTAAAAAGTACATCATACCTTGAGCAAACTGTGATACGCATCAATATTTCTGTTGATGTTTCTTAGTCTAGTGCAACTCTCATCCACCTTTCTTTAAAAGTGTTTTGCCATTTGTGAAACAGGTAGTATAGGAGTCTAATGTATTTGGGTACACACTGATTTCCTTATCAGAAAGAAAATATTCATGGTTTAGCAATTAAATATAAAGTTCCAGTATTAAACAAGTCTTAATTCAGTCAACAGTAAGCCATTGTTAAAATATTCTCATGATCTAACTGTCTATAATATAGTTTTATAAATGTAATTTACTGCAAAATACTGATGTTAAGCTATTCCACACTGAAGAATCCCATAATAATTAGATGTTTTGGCCTCTAGAGTAATCGAGTCACCCTGAAGATGGACGTTTCACATACAGAACATTCTCATGTGATTGGCAAAGGTGGCAATAACATTAAAAAAGTGATGGAAGAAACAGGATGTCACATCCATTTTCCAGACTCAAATAGGAATAACCAAGCAGAAAAGAGCAACCAAGTAAGTATTTAATATTTTATTTATATTTTACAGTATATATTCCTAGAGAATTGTTATGGTGGTGCCTGCAGTCACACAATCTGCTGGAGACGCATCTTCAGACTATCATGGACAGGTATGAGAGTAGCAGAAAAGCAGTGTTAAGCAACTGTGGCTACAGAGTCATTCTTTGGGAGAATAGGTCTACATCAAGGATCACTATTCATGTTTGTGATTAGAGTGGACACCTTGATGTAGGAGATTAGGAGAGAGGCTCCACGAAGCCTGCTTTTTGCTGATAGCATGTTGTCCCATGAAGATAATACCACACTGGAAAGGGGTTTAGAAGGAGGCCCCTGGAGGGCTGCATTAGAAGAAAATGGCTTACAAATTAGCCAACAAAAGACAGAATATGTGATGCTTCGTTGAGAGGGACAATGAGAAGCCAGTAAAATTAGGTGGTATAGAGTTAGTCTGTTCAACAATTTAGATGCTCAGTTCATTCTTGAGCCGTGACGGGAATGTGCATGCAGAGGTTAGGAGCTTGTAATGGAGCATAGATTCTTCCCCGTCCTTGGTCACCACAGAAACCACTCAGACTCTCTTCTTGTGTGTCCTCTTTGTAAAATTTATTCAGGTCCCCTCCAGCAACTCCTGTACAGTGCAATACAGCAGATCTAATACTTATGACCTGATTTCCTTCAGACCCTGTTTATCAGGGCCCTGGGAGGAAGAGATCTCCCTTCCTTCTGATCTCCTTCAGACTGGGCACAGCCAGCTAGCCCAGTTCGCCCTCCCTGCCCCCTACTCCCAACACGTCCTTCCTGTCTTTTATCAAGCTAGTCATCTGATGAGCCAATTAGTTCCTTAACTTATCCAGCCTCCCTATCTGATTAACTAATTCGTCCCTATTTCCTCAGTCAGCCATCACCGGGGGAACTAATTGAGGCCACAGTGATCAGAGTGCTGACCCATCTGTTAAGCTTCAGCGCTCTGTCACAGAGCCACATGAAGAGCATGTGGTGTAAATGGAGGGAGTAGACAGGAATTTTCTGCTATAAGAATAAGTCCAAAGTATATAAGATCGTGTTTAGGCCTGCTATGACATTTGAGTCAGAATGCTAGCCAATAAGGAAGAGAAGAACAACTTCTTCCACTGCCAAAATGAGAATTTTCAGATGGATTCCAGGTAAGACGAGCTGATAGACTATGCAATGAAATGGTATGGGCCTCATCACGGGAAAGCTGAGGGAGTATTTACTGAGATGGCTGGATCATGTTAGGTGACGAGATAAGGGATAAGTTGACCAGAAAGTACAATAGCTAGTAGTCACAATACAAAGACCATGTGAGAGACCTAGAAAAGGGTGGTTTGGGATGATGAAGAAGGAGATGAAGAAGGTCGATGTCAGCTTGGAAGATGCACTTGACAAGAATGCTTGGAGATTGTGACAGGGTGCTGATTAGAAAGATTTCAGAATCAGCCCCCTGCCATGCCAGCCCCATTTAGGTGAATAAAGTGGAGCTGGCTGGTAAGAGCCTGCCCTAATTGGGGAATGAGGGCCAGCTGCTAGCCCAATTAGCCCAGTGCTATATAAGAGGCTGGGAAGAAGGAAGCTGGGATGGTGGGATGGAGGAGAGTGAGGGAGTGCAGACTGGGAGAAAGCCCTTCCCTCCTGGGTTCAGACACAAGGAACCCGGAGCTGTGTAAGCTGTACAGTGAGAAGGTGGTAGGAGCACAAACTTGTAAATAAAAGCACCAGTGGTTTCAGAACCCAAGGGTCTCTGAGTGACTTTATCTGAGCCTAGCAGATGCAGGAGCCAGGAGGGTAGCTGTGCTCTGTTACAGAGATGAAGAACAAGAGTCACTGACTCTGATTGAGGGGACAAGGCAAAGGGAAAGTAGTAGATGATCATGATGGTCCCATTCTGGCCTTAAAGTCTGCTTATTAATATAAGCTGGTTATTCCATTTTTAAAGTATTATATAATTATTTTTAGTTTAATTATTTTTTGCCTGGTTTGTATACCTTGATGGTTATGGAAATTAACTCTTCATATCTAAATCGGGTGTGGAAATCAATGGATTATTCTAGGTGGACTGAAAGAAAATCTGTTTTTGCAAAAGATAGGGACAATTAGTGATGTGTTTATCAAATTCTTTCAAATATTCAGAGGACAATCATTCAGTATAAGGAAGTGGTAGAGAAGCAGGGCATCTGGATTACTGATTTTTATTTATTTTTTAAATTTCTGGGTGTTTTTGGCATGTTAAAAGTTATATAGAAACTAAAGTTTGTAGATGTCTAACAAAAATGAAAACATCCGATAATAGCAGTTCAACTTTATTAGAGTGAAGATTGCTTGTTGAATTATAATACATCAAAAAGAATCTTGCTGTTCTATAATACCAAATTTAAATGACATTTTTACTTTTCAGTCTGTCATTATAGCATACTAATAATTTATTCAGGCTTTTTTTAAGTAGCATGTTCCATAAAACTCCCAGTGGCAACTTAGGATGTCATTTTTAAAAAGTATATTATTTGTTCAGTTTCAACCTTAAGGACTAATATACTGTTGCAGAACAGTAATTGCAGGGTTCGTTCTGAATGGCTATGTTGAATTTTTATTAGTTTCTTCCATTATTTGTTCAAAGTTTTCAGAATGTTGTAAGAGTTTGTAGCATAAAAATCAATATACAAAACTAACCCTTTACTGGAGGGATTCAGTTTTCAACTACTGTTTTAAAAAATGCCTCAGACACCAACAGAAGTACAATACATATAAAAAATAACATAAATATTTGGAGAATTTTTCAGATAATTTATATGAAAACGATACTATGTTGTCTGTGTTCTGACTTTTTCAGGTGTCTATTGCAGGACAGCCAGCTGGAGTGGAGTCTGCCAGAGTTAGAATACGGGTAACTGTATTTCCATAACTCACATCTCAAACACACTGGAGATAGAAGAAGTTGGGGGATAGAAGTGGGAAATGATAGTTCAGTTCTGAGTTGACTGGCTCTGTGTTGTGGTCTCTAAGCAGCTCATATCGTAAAACCCCAAATTGCAAGAAAATAATGTCAGCAATATTCACAATGAATATTCATTTTTGTTTAATCTTTTTAATTAGCAGATTTTAAATAATAATACAAAATAAGCATAAAGGGCTCATGAGTTGTGTGTACATACGTGTTACAAATATATTAAGAATGTTAGCATTCATGTGGACAAACTACATAACACTGAAGTGACTCATGTTTAGTCACCTTATGTTACCTAAACTGATTTAAAGCCTGAATTTAGTGTCAGCTATTTAAACCAGATATGATCTTGCAGTCCTTCTACTAAGAATTATGTGCTAAATTCTCCCTCTGCAGAGGTAATTTAGTTGCCTATGATTGAATTTTAATTGTTATATGCAGTAGGTGTAAGTAATGTGATGGACTGTAGCAAAATAAATCCATCCCCGCCAATCGTACTCTGCACTCATTTCCCCCATCATAACAATCTCTTTTGATTTTATATATATCTCACACAACTGTATTTTGAACCATATGACATATTATGAACATTTTAATGTTCTATACATATACATACATTAAGTCTGTATATTTGATGGCTATGATGGTTGTGACAGAAACCATGACTTATAGGGCTTTTCCATAAAAAGTCATTGTTTTTCTAACCCCAGCCATCCCACTATGGAGCAAGATCCCTGCATGAAATTTCACAAATGTAGCTCAATATATGGTATGTAAGTATAGAAGAGTGGGAATGTGACATGAGTGTTTTTTTGTTTTTGTTTGGTTTTTTGACTTTCTTTATTTGCAAAAAAACTGTGGCTTTTTTGCAATTTTTCTAACGAGGTATGACATTCACACTTTTTTACCTGGCAAGGTAATGCATTTTTTCCATTTGTTTTTGACAGCAAACAACTTGCCTTGGATGATGTCAACAAACTTAAGTTTCTGTAAAGAAAGCTCAGGGAGATTGTAGATATTCTAAATGTTATCTCAGCGGAGTGACAGAAAATTCTGAATTTTTATTAAAGTTGTGGTAGGCTGAGTAAATGTGATTGTGCTTCAAATACATGCTGTGATTTTTCTCAATCTCACTCTAGGAGCTGCTTCCTTTGGTACTTATGTTTGAATTACCCATAGCTGGAATTCTCCAACCCATCCCAGATCCTAATTCTCCTACGATTCAGCATATATCACAGACTTATAACATTTCAGTTTCCTTTAAACAACGTTCTCGAATGTACGGTGCTACTGTCATTGTTAGAGGGTCACAGAATAATACTTGTGCTGTGAAGGTAATACATTTAACTAAAGTTATTCCAGATATCCTAAATGTGTAAAAACTTAGTTGCTTAAATGGTGTCTTGTTATACTATACTGGTTGATCCAGAAGGCATTTATTATTATAGCTTTTAACAATTTGGATGCACTGATCTTAAATGTTTTAGGGTGTTGTTTTTCTGTACATACACAAATCCTATTTTATAAAAAAACATTTTCCGTTTGAAACCTAATTTTATATGTTTACTTCAGTTTACATTTTAAATATATCAGAGACCTTATTCAGGCTTTAGGCACTCTGAGAAATGGTTAATATCGCAAACCAAAATTAAAAACAGCTATACTAGAGCAGGGGCCAATCTCACCTATCACCAAAAACAGCCAGTAAGCAAAAAATGTAAACCAATGAACAAATCAAATCCTAACCCCCACATACCTGAGTCCTCCCCAGATGTCTGGTTAAATAGGTGGACTTGCAATACACCCTAATGGTCAACAAATTTGGGCTATTTCAGACAAAGGGGGAAACAGTGAATTCAAAAGACATGGAAGGGGCCAATCACTCAGGACATGTTGCTAACAGCCTTTTAAGCTAAAAGCAAGGGAGCTCCAGCTTGAGTATTTCTGTGGATGACAGCTGTGGCAGTATGAGACAGAGAGAGACGGTGGTGTCAAGTAGGTAGGTCTCAAGTCAATTAGGGCTTCAGAGACCAAAACAAGGGTCAAATCTAGCAACTAGATTTGTTCAGATATATCCCTATTGACTTCAGTGTGGCTGCATGTGGGCACAGATTCCACCTGTGTGGAACCAGGCGCAGGACTGAGGCCAAGACAGAAAAGGCCAGATTTTTAAAAGTATTTAGGTGCCTAAAGATCCAGATAGGTATCCAATGGGATTTTCTAAAGCACCTAACTTCCTTTGAATTCAGTGGAGTTCAGATGCAGTTCAAGAGAAGTTAGGTAGAGTCCAACTCTTTCTGAATTATAAGTTAACTTGATTTTAAACAAAATCGTATATTGCTTCCCACCCTTAGTAAATCCTTTATATGTTGCTGCTTGCTTATTCTGGAATGTGAAATGTGTGCTGTCTAAAGCAAATGTAATCTGATGAAATTCTTATTTTGTATCCACCACTGTGCAGTTTTGGTTGTTTCTCTATAATGTATTTTTCTCCTATTTGTCTGTAGGAAGGAACAGCCATGCTTCTGGAACACCTGGCTGGTAGTCTGGCCTCTGCAATCCCTGTGAGCACGCAGCTAGATATTGCAGCACAGCATCATCTCTTTATGATGGGTCGAAATGGCAGTAACATCAAACATATCATGCAGAGAACTGGTGCTCAGATCCACTTCCCTGACCCCAGTAACCCACAAAAGAAATCCACTGTCTACCTCCAGGGCACTATTGAGTCAGTCTGTCTTGCCAGACAATATCTCATGGTAAATATTTCAGTGACATCTGTATGAAAAATGTCAAGTAGCTAAAAGAAAATACTACCAGTTCTTGTGTATTTATCATCCAGATGCAAATGACTTTCTGTATTGGAGCAGAAAAAATAGTATTTATTTACATAACAGAATACTGATTGAGATGAGTGCTCTTATTCTGACTGTGTGTCTAATGAAATAGTTTTATGAACTGTAGTTGTCTTATATCTGATTTTATCAATAAATGTGTTATACACTATCATGATAAAAGATGCTTTGCCAATATAAAGGACATAATTAAAATTGGTTATGATGGTGATGTTACCGATTAGAAGGCAGAAATTGAGATAAGCAGTTCTTTTCTTCCATTAATGTCCAACCACCTCTTTTTTCCCATCTTTTTGTTAGCATGATAAGTGGGCAGCTTTTCTGGAGCCAGTGAGAAAGGTTACTTGGCATATGTGTGGACCAAATAATCTTTTTTAGGGCAGGTTTCCTTGAAAGTACAGATGATCAGATACATTGGAGACACTTGCTTACATCCTAGCAGGTTCTACATTCTGTAGTCTTGTCAACTACATTAGCAGCAGAACTGTCAGAAATTTTCCAGTGAAACATACTTTTTTTTGAAAATGCCAATTTGCTGGACCAAAACGTTTTGTTCAGAGTCCATTACACACCAAGAAACAGACAGGCTTCTGTTGTGGCTCGGGGCGATGGCAAGCTCCCGACACTAAGGCATGGAGCCTGCCACCCTCTGGAGCCAGGAGTCTGCAGGTGGCAGGCTTTCTACTCCACAGCTGGAGCCATGGTTACTGCCAGGACTCTCGGGGCTGCTAAGCTCCATGCTCCATAGCAGCATCCTTGGGAGAGCCCTGTCTGGAGCTGGAACTCTCTGGCTGGAGAAGGGAGCCTAGCAACCTGGAGAACCCAGTCAGGCTCACTATTATGAAGCAGCTAAGTAAAATTGACAAGAATGTTAATTTCCTATTTTGTTTCGGGAACACCATATTTCAGTGTTCTTTGAACAAAATTATTGGGGATCTCTGGTTCATCAGGAAATTTGCTTTTTTTCCCAAATCAGAACAAAAGCAATATTGTGAATAACAATATCCCTTGCAAACCAAATCTCCCTGAGCTTTAGCCAGTTCTAATTAGTGGTACTATTTCTTTAACAAAGCTAACCATATTGGGGGGATATTTGTTTTGTTTTTACAGGTGCTATCTTAGTGAGCCTCTAGTGTGGCTCACTGCGGCCTTTAGGTGGTCTTGTAATACTAAGAACAACAATATTAGTCTCATAACAGTGACAACTGGGGTTTAGGACTGATATAGAGCTCTTGATATGGTGACACGAGGGTTTCAACTAATTAATAAACATTAGGTGAAGGTGTTTAGTAACTGATCATTATTTCTGCAAGTGGCATATTTGTGTTTCACCTCACTGAGAATAAAATGGGTTCGGTTTTTTTAAATGAAATAATTGATTCAACTAGCCACATCATCACAATCTCTTTAGCCACTGTTTGTGTAATATTTTCAAGTTTTACAATTAGTTACAGCTATCACTAGTGAGTTTGTATTAAGGCTTGAATGTTAAGCTCTTCATAGTAAACATAATCTTTAGTATAGTGTTCTTTATCTCTACATTAGTCACAGTTTCTGAGCTTAACAGAGGCTTCTAGGAGAAGTATGGGGTATGATCTAGAGTTGTGACTGCCAAGACTGGGTGCATTATGTTTGGAGTTTGTTTATATCTCATGTAACAAAGAGAATAACCATATGATCAAGACTAACATACAGAAAATGTAGGAATATCACTTGTAGATGTAACCCCTTTGCACTAGATAAATATATACAATAGATGAATAAAAATAAAAAATGAAGTTTGTATTATAGAGACATAGGTATTGCAAGCCCTTATATTACTGACTTCTAAAACCCCATGTCTGTACTGTTTTGAGCTATTCTCCCTTCCTTTACCACCCCAACATACATACTCCATCTGCACTGGAAGAGAGAATGTCTGTATGTGTACATGGTTATCTATATTACAAATAATATAATATAATAGTGTATTGATTCCTGAATAGATATGCTTATAAATATTGAGAGACAGCTATGCTATATATATCATCAGTGAGCTTCAAAGTATGCTACTCCAATTGTCATTCAAGCTGGAGAAGATAGGGGAGACAGTAGTGCCCCAAAACATAAATAAGAATAACATATAAATATTCAAATACCCTTTGCTACATGGAGGAAAGAAAGATTAGAAGCTATTGAAAGGTTTTTAGAATATTGCAAAATTCAACTTTCTCATGGTAAAACATCAGTAGCTCCTCAGAGCTACAGGAAATCTATAGCCCTTAAGAAGTATACTGACCTAAACTGAGGAACAAATTGAGATTTAGTTTGTCCAACCTGGCATTGTTCCATATATTTTGAAATATTTACTCATGTTTCCAATTTTATAGCTAAACGTGTTTTTAAAAGCAAGTGTTACAAAAAATGAATGGATATTTTTAATGTATGCTAGAGTCCCTATATTTGCTAGGTGATATGACAAAACTGAACATATTTTTAAAAGGAGAAACTAACTAAATACGTGTGTGTGTGTGTGTGTGTGTATAGAGAGAGAGAGAGAGAGAGAGTGTGAGTGTAGGAGCAAGAGATATTTACTAACTTAAAAGCTTTAACTACTTTTTTTAACCCGGTCAGCTGCGTGGCATAAATAGCTACATTCATTCCTTGGATCTTCTAAAATAAATTTCAGCACAGTGTTTTTTGGCTCCATTCAGTGAACTCAAATTTCTATATTTTTGAGAGTTCTGTGGTACCAGAAGCTTTCTAGCTATAGTCCGATTTATTATTGGCTGCTTTCATCTTTCCTGGAAGCAGGCCAAATAGGTGCTGATGTTGTCTCTGAGGTAGACAATGAAACTATCTCATGATTTTTTAATAATAGATTTGATGGGAAAATATACAACAGTGTAAACCGTTTTCCCGTGTAGCCATTTCTCTGAGCTTGACAATTTCTATAAGCAAACTTTACATAGCTCCCTAATATCAACAAAGACAAAACGGGTAGCCTAAGCAAGCTCCCTGTGAACTACTGAAGTGCTAGTCAGTGCATGATACTGTAACACTAGTGAAAGAGACCAAAATTTGAGAGAGGTCTTGTGATATACTATTCCAAAAGCCTCAAGATCAATATGCTCAACCCTTTGAGGTAGGTGATATGTATGTTTCTTTTAGTCTATGAAGACTGGATAAACTACAAAGAATATTGATAACTTTTAAAAGCAATTCACCACACACAAAATGAAATTGAGAAACTAATATTGTGGATTTAAGCTATTTATATTGATTCCCATATGTGTCCAATGTACTAATTATTTAATGTGACACAAACATGTCAAACAAGATTTTAATACAACATATATTACATTCCTTTTTATAAGGCGCGTACATTTTGTGTATTAAAAATTAATTTGCATTATTCTTAAATGTAAATGTTAATATAAATGTGACATTAACACAAGTTTACTCACCGAAAAGGCCATGATTTATATTGAGATATAAATTGCAGGCGCCCCTAAATTCTAACTTGGAAAGCCTTCCACATTCCAGATGTGTTCTAATCAGAGAACTACATCACTTTGCCACTAGCTTACACATTTTGATCTTTATGCAACTCTAGTGCCCAAATATGGCTGTTAAGATAATGTCCATATGAGAAAGTGGTAAATGGCAAACCATAAAAGAAAAACAAATGTATATTGTGACTCAGAATAAAAACGTTGAGTGAGTTTTGTTTTTTTAAAGAAGTCAACAGTTAAAAGCTCAGCATGTTGTCTTCTGGGGCTTTTGTTTGGTTTTTCCTATTCATCTGTCTTTTTCTCAGTATTTCAGTATCCACTAATCAGTAGATCAAGAAACTTAATTTCAATGACTGCATAAAATAAATTGATCTATGATCCATTTGCTCATAACAGAGTATTAATTTATTTTCCATATTGAAAAGTTAGTTTTGTTTCTTTAATCTCCCTGCTTTTTTTTTAGGGGGGGGGGAAGCCTCCCCATTTAGCATTGGCTTCTTTCTGGTTGGGCATATTTGCTTTCTTTCCTTTTTCCAATACCATCTCCAGGTGTTCTAAACATTACTTCCAAATTGTAAAATTTCAATTTTGGGCTATTTTATTTTCTTGACCTTTAGTTGAATTTGTTTATTCAAATGCTTATTGCGTAATTACATTTTTGGCTTTACAAAAGCTGTTGGAAAATCCAAGTATGACATGTGCTCAACATTTTTCTTACCACAACAAAATGGGTTGTAGTAGGGATTATTGAATTGAATGTGTTATTTTCAAAGAATGATTACTCATGACAATGGCTTCTTCGGCCAAGTTGACTTTCTGAAGTCAAACTGTTTTTCATCGTCTTCCCAAAGCTGATCCCCTAAAATAGTGTCGTTTTCTTTTTGCTTAAGCTTGACTTGGTTATATGGACTAACCTGTAACTTTTGACCATCTTGGCATTATTATTTTTGAAGCATTCTTATCTGCTTTTCATTTTTCCCCAATATCCCTTTTGAACTTTGGTGAATTTGGAGGGTATTTTCTTCTAGACACTGTTAGCTATCTGAATATAGTCTCTTTAAAAAAAAAAAATTAAACATATGCCAGGTTTTTTTTTTTAAAAATGGGTGCCTAAAGTCAGTGTTGCAAAGTCCATATTCAAGAACCTGTGTGAGTAGTCAGATGTTTCAAAAGTGCTGGGCACCTACCAGCTACCAAAATATTATTTTCATAAATGAAGGGCTAGATTTTAGGGAAATGAAGGGAATGGAATATAAATAGTGCAAAGGTAGTAAAGCAAAAGAGTCAAATATGACAAAATACTATGGCCAAGATTTTCAGAAAGTGCTCTCCATATTTATACACCTAAATAAGTGGCTTTCCTTCCCGCCTCTGCCTTCACTTTCTGCTCTAAATTGCTGAGTAGTGTAGTTTACTCTGTTGAACTGCTGCTGTTTTCCTGGTTGCGTCACTGTGGTGGATGAAGTGATTCTTGTCTAGTCTATGGACACTTTGAAACCCTTTGGAAAGAAAATATAAATGTGAGGTTATGCAGAACTTATACCTGCTGAATAGATATGATTTATTACTTGCCATGCTGCTCAGCAGCATCTGAAGCACGTTCAACAAGCTGGCAGTCCTTAAAGGTTTGACCATTTTTATGTGTATATTTTATATATACATTTTTCTGATGAATGGGTAATACTGTTTTTGGATTGCACTGTCAATGTCCATTTTAAATTGTAAATTTTTGGGGTCAGGAATCATGTTTTCTTTCCTTTTTTGCACAGCAAACAGCACGCATTTGCTACTCTATATGATAATAATTGTTTCCTTCTCTACCAGTGTTGTCTTATTTTAAGATCTCATTAATTTCAAAAGTGTTGCAGCTTAATCTCTGAAAATACAGATTTAGCTACTCAGTGGTGAGGCAAAGGGAAATTTTATTAAAGATTTGACAATCCAGCGGGATTTTCTTTTTCACAATTATAACATTCTTTTTTGTCTCACCCGAAATATGATTTTAAGGTAAACAATATGACCAAATAATGGTACTGCTAACTATTCTCTTGACAATAGTTTGTGGCAATTAGACAGTACATACATACAAAAGTTGATCCTTCCAACAGCCTTAATTTTGGGTAGTGAATGTGTATAACTTGCGAGTTAAATCTTTGTTTACTATGGGGTGAGATTCTTATTCAACAAACCATCGCACCCTCAAACTGTCAAGCTCTCTGCTTGTTGGGGTTGTGGGAGGTAATACTCATCTTGTAAAATTTCATTCTCACTATTTCAGTCAGAACTGCTAAGATCTTGAGTTACATAGGACAGGAAAAGTTGACTGTCATGTTTTAGCCAATGTTGTATTTAGTACAAGGGTACTTTATAATTTGGATTTAACTTTCCAGGGTTGCCTTCCTCTTGTGCTGATGTTTGATATGAAGGAAGAAATTGAAATAGAACCACAGATTATAACTCAACTAATGGAACAATTAGATGTCTTCATCAGCATTAAACCAAAGCCAAAACAACCAAGCAAGGTTGGTCAAAACCTAACATAGTTTTGCAAACTATGAGGTATGTTCTCTGTACACAAAACCCCCATAATGCTATATGAAATATTGAACACTTCATTCCTGGATATTGCATTTAAAAGAGCCATTCACTGATTTGTCTTGTCTTCGCTTTGGTACTGCACTTGTGATATGACCACGTTCTGTTCCAGGAGTTGCCACCCTTTGATTACAGTGAAGCTGTACACATTAAGAGCAGAATTTGGCTCATTAGCTTTTAGTTTCCAATCAAAATGCATTTTTTTCAAATGAATTACAAACGTGACAAAAATGTCTTCAGGTTGAATGTTCCATGCTATAGTAGCTCTGTTCTATAGCAATTTTTTTGTATTAAATATTTGACAAAATTTGGATCATCTGATTTGTCTAAGTGACTGATCCTGCAAACCCTTAGTAGAAGATAATGGAAGTAGCCACAAGTAAAACTGCTCTTGATCTGGTTTACAGGATCAAATTTTAAGTCACACAACTCCCTGTTATTTTTAACAATCTCTAGGCCTATTCTGATTTGGTGAAAGAGAAGTCTTATGTTCATATCATTTTTTGCAGCAGGTAATGAATGTAATGGTTGAAAAATTAATCCTTCTAAACTGAGGACACCTGTCCTTAAACCTGCCCAGTTCATCGTTTTTGGATCCTGGTCCAATCCATTATGTATAAATGTTTGACATACAAACTGTAAAATGTCAGATGAACATTCCATTATGTCAGCGGTTTTGATGTTAAATGTAGGAACATTTCAAGTCAATAAAAGGGACTACATCATTTTCATTTTGTACTTCTAGGCTCCTGTATTGAATTTAATGCAAATAGAAAAGAAACATGTTTTCTGTTTATTGCATGAAGCATGTTTCTTGTAAATGTAATGGGAAGCAAACATGAGACTCTTATCTAACAACCATCTCTCTTGGCTACCCTCTATAGAGCTTGGACGCTTACAGTAACTGTTAGCACCATTCCATCATCATAGTCAGGCCATAATTATCCTTCTTAACTTTATTAGCTTCATTTAATTAAAAAAATGAGCAGTATTCCTGGGACAGACTGTTTTCACTTTTAAAGGTGAACAAAAACATTACAAAAAATGTTCTAACCTTGCCACAAACCGCTAAATGCCTGAATAATCACTAATGGACTTTGTTACTGCTATTTTATGTTGTGCTCTGACTTTACTGGGGTTATGTCTTTACTGTGTGTAAACTACACTGGCATAATTGTTCTGGCATAGCCCCATAGTGTAGAAGCAGCCAGCACTGGCAAAGAAGGGGTTTATCAGTGTAGGAACAGCCACCTCCCCTAATGAAGTTAGCTATGTCTACAGAAGTCCTCTTCCTTTGACATACCTGCACCTACACTGGGGGTTATGTTGGTATAGCTACGTCGGTCACTAGTGAGGTTTTTCATATCTCAGACCAGCATAGTTCTGCTGACGTAACTTTTCAGTGTAGACCAAGCCTGTGGCTCTGAAGCACTATTCTAAGATTTGTGTTTTCATGAATTTATATTATACCTTCATATCAATCTCTCTTCTTTTTTGCAGTCTGTGATTGTAAAAAGCGTCGAACGAAATGCCTTAAATATGTATGAGGCAAGGAAACGTCTCCTGGGACTTGAAAGTAATGGAGTCACCATAGCAGCAAATCCATCTACAATCTCATGCCCCGTTGGCCTCTCGTGTCCTGGTTTGGACATCTTGCCCTCAGCAGGGTTAGGACTCACTGGACTTGGTATATACTTTACTCTTGTTTTATAATGTTTGAAACACAGTTCACGTGTACTGGGAAGTACAGGACCAGCTATACTTTTGAATGAGTAGCATTAGGTGTTGGAAAATTTAAGGCCCACCCTGACATTTCAAGAGTATTTGTCATTACAGAGCATCCTCCAGTGTTTTAGTAATGGATAGTGGGAATAGTTTCAGTGTATCCTCTGAAAGATGGAGAAGTTTAGACATTTGAAAACTAAACTCTTTACCCATTCAACTTAATGTATATAAAGGGAGGTACTCCTTTTCGGGTAGGGTAATACGTGAGAGAGAGAGATTATAAGTCAAGTGTGGCACCCCATTTATGGCTTTCAGAGAAACCCTTATCCAAATGAACCACCTTACTCCTGGAGATATTGTTTGACTTGTTAAATAGAAACGTAAGTGGGTGAACAGGGAAAAGACTCCTTGACTACACGGAGATAGTTTGCCATTTAACATTACTTAAAGGTTAGCCTTAGGTAGCAACAATGTTTTTGTTTCTGACTGTAGTAACTAAATATTGAATGACACTGTTTCTTCAGAGAGACAAGGTGGATGAGGTAATATCTTTTATGTTACCAACTTCTCTTGGTCCAATACAAGCTATTACCTCACCCATCGTATGTCTCTAATATCCTGGGAGTGACACGGCTACAACAACATTGCAAACAACTGTTTCTTCACTCATATTGGCACTTGTCTGTCAGTATAAAACTTAAACCAGGAGTGTTTATATTTTCTGTCTCTTTCTAGAAGAGAATTATTGTGCCATAAATAATCCAGGAAGGAATTATCATTTTGTGTTTAAAAGCTATAACTGCTTGATATCTTTGTTCACCAAAAATACGTACAAGCTTATGTATAGATATATTACGTTTTTTCCACCGTGCTTGGGTTCTCAAACCTTCTCCATGCAGGACCATCACTGACAGAAAAGGGATCAAACAAGCCATATTTTCTTTTGACTCACAGTTCAGCAATCCATTATGGTTGCATCCCGGAATCCATGCTTGTGACTTGGGTGGAAGCTGGAATCTTGGCTTGTGCCATCTGTTTACATTTTGATACCATGCTCCTCCCCCATGATACCAGTACTTTACACATTTACAAAATGTGGGGAGTTTTGTGGATGAGTTGTGGATGTTGGATGGGGTTATGGGTTCTTAGGGGTGATGAGGTTTGCTAATGGAGGGAGGCGGCATGGTATTGCTAGGTGAGGATATGCTGCTTCCTCTCTCCTTCCTCCTCCACGCTTACACCACCTGTGCTCCAACGAAGGCACAGCTTAAAGAAAGTGAAGACTTGCCTGAGAGGAGGAGGGCTGTAAAGTAGCTGTTACCTCCTCATCACCTTTAAGCAATGCTTCCCAGAAAGAGTGGAGAGACATGAAAGGGAAGAGTGAGAAGCTGCGTTTGGTGGCTGTATGAGCAGCAGGTAGAGGCACTTAGGTACTGTAGTGGTGGGAGCCAAATTGATAGAAGGTGCAGATATTCGCCTTTGTTTTGTTTAGTAGCCACTGGTTTTTGGTGAATCCCCTTGCCCCATTTGCACGTGCACACTTCAAAAATCCCTGTCCTACGTCGTGTGTATGCTCTCTCAGCAGAAATAGCACTGTAATTTTTGTAAAGTATTTCAAAAATCAACACCAACACTTAATATAACCCTTTAAAAATGTTCTTTACAATTCCTGTATAAACAAATGCATAATGGATATAATTGTTTTGACAGGTCTCTTAGGTCCTACTGCCTTATCTGTCAACACCTCTACTGCTCCAAACTCGCTCTTGAATGCCCTTAATAGTTCTGTTAGTCCTCTACAGAGCCCCAGTTCAGGCACGCCCAGCCCTACGTTATGGGCAACATCTCTTGCCAACACAAGTGCCACAGGTCAGTAGAAGTTAAATAGAAATTAAATTAGTTTTTAATTTTTCACTAGAAAGAAAACTGAAAAAGACAGACCCATTCATTCTTTAAAGTCGCATAGAAGGAAAGAATTATTCAGTGTATTTTCTTGTAAATGCATAAATATCCAAATATGAAGATTTTTAAACTAACATAATTGTGTTTTTATAATGTCACATGCAACTTTGTAGATTTTTTTTTTTAAATGGGAAAAATATCTTATCCAAAGTGTTGGATAGTGCATTATGTAATTGGTTTGATTGGTCATTTTCAACATAATTGTAATTCAAAGGTTTTATATAAAATTCAGCTTTTATTCAGCCTGATGTACTCAACTTGTCAGTGAACCAGAAATGACTTCATTTTTGTTGCAGGTTTTTCTGCTATACCACATCTGATGATACCATCTACTGCCCAAGCCGCTTTAACTAGTATTCTGCTATCTGGAGTGCCTAATTATAGTCAGAACACTCCATCTCCCCCTCCTGGCTTGACTCCCGTTGACATTCATGTCAATGGCATGAAATCCGAGAACAAAAAAGGTTCAACTTCTTTAAACGGTCATGTAAAGGTAAGTGGCATGATGTTCAGTCTGGACAAGATGATCTCGGTTTGCAATGAGCTTTCTCTGAAAAACTCTAGGAAAAAAACTAATTGCTTTCATCCGTTGTGACTCTTTAAGATCATTTATTTCAAATTGTAATAAAAATGCTCATAAAATGTAACTTGAAAAACATTAAGCCAAATTATCCCAAATAAGAATTTTCTGCCTGCCTGCATGACAAGAAAAGGGGGTCAGAAACAAAGATTTATTTAAACATGTTCTGGTAATAATTTCAGACATCAAATATCAAGTATGCTGCACTATCTGCCTCATCACTAGGAGAAAATGTGTTGAGCACAAACCACAGTGATTCATCAAGGCAGACAAATAGTCATAGCACCTCAGAACAAGTGACCACCAAGTCAAATACAGCAGAAGGTAAGTTTTGGCATTTGACCTGTGTTATTCTGGTTGGTAATGGTAATAGCTTAACGGTGTTTGTGCATTTTACAGATAAATTGTGAAAGGTAAGATTAATTTTTGTGTCAGCATTTTATCCTCAGCCACACTGGAGGAAAGCGTGCCGTCCCCCCCCCCCCCAAATACATGTTGTCCAATGGATTACGTATTGTCTGCACGTAATAGTTGCACCACTTTAACTATACCGGCAGTTAAAACTAGTGTGGATGCAGCTAGACCGGTATAAATTGGCTTACACCATATATAGTTTATTCCCATGTGGGAAGGGGAGTAAGTTATTTGTGTGTTGTTCATTGCAAAAGCAATACTAGTTTCCAATGGAGAAATTTTCAACTTGACATTTGGGCTAAGATTTTAAATAGTAACTGGTGATTTTTGGGTGCCTCAATTTTTGATTGCCCAGTTCAAAATACATTAAAAGCTTCTGGATTTTTAGAAAGTGGTGAATATCCAGCTTCTGATAATCATTCCTCTTAAGATATTTCAGACTGGTCCCAGAAACTGAAGTCATCCAAAATCACTAGTGACTTTCAACCTTAGGTTATAAGTTTTGACATTATTTGCTGTAATATGGCTAAAATCCCACATAACTTGAAAAGATACCCCTTAGTTTTATAGTACACATACTATGTGAATATATGCTCCTAATTCTTTATGCATATATGAAGTATAGTTGTGTGCTTTCTGACTTTGCGAAAATTAGTACATCCTTAAACGCTAGCCCTTTATATGCCTTTTATGTAAAATAGTTTTAATTCTATGCAAATTATTGCTACTGATTTTCTAAATATACTGTACAGCAATGGTATTGGTATGTGAAAGGGTTTTATTTTACAGCTCTTTTTTCTTGGTCTTGTAGGCTGCAATGATGCTTTTGTAGAAGTGGGCATGCCAAGAAGTCCATCACATTCAGCAAATGCCAGTGATCTGAAGCAAATGATGAGTTCTTCCAAACAGTCCTGTACTAAGAGGCAAACAGTAGAATTACTGCAAGGAACCAAAAACTCTCACTTACAGTATGTTACATTCACGAGTATAGAATCATAGAATTTAGAGATGAACTATAATATTTAGCATGTTCTTTGGGGGTGAGATGGGTGGTTCAGTCATTGATGAATATTGGAGAATTGGTTTAAATCAGACTAATTTTTCAACCATATTTAATTTAATAAACTACTATTTGTTTTATAACAGTCCCTTTAAGTTGTTAATATTGTAAACATTTTTGACATCTAAGAATTCCTCCCTCTCCATCTGCCTATCAAAAGTCCTTGCTTTCTCCAAGACTGGCTTCTCTGAGAAGTTTTTGGTACATATAGCTCTGTAATATTTTTTGTGTGTTTTGTAACACCAATAGATTTTCATAGCTAACTTTAATTTGCTGTGACAAATACTGTGCTTGAGATTTGTTTTCTTAGTGAAAAATAATCCTCAGGAAATACTGTTACATTTTCAAAGCTTGAATAAAGACAAAGTTTAAAAACAGAAAATTAGCAATGGAAAAAACCTTTTGAATAATTTTTTTCAATGCAGGAGTATTCCTTAGTACCCGTATATTGTTTAGTGTTTTCTCCAGTGCAGTTTTAAATTACTTAAAAGGGTTTTCCACCACTTCCTCTTTAGAAACAACGCATAATAGTCTTCACTGTTAGGAAATAATTAGGGCTGCTGATTAATCGCAGTTAACTCATGCGATTGACTCAAAACAATCGCAATTAAAAAAATGTGTCGCGATTAATTGCACTGTTAAACAATAGAATACCAATTGACATTTATTCAATTTTTGGATGTTTTTGTGCTTTTCAAATTGTATTGATTTCAATTACAACACAGAATATAAAGTGTACAGTGCTAATTTTATATTGTTTTTATTACAAATATTAGCACTGTAAAAATGATAAACAAAAGAAATAGTATTTTTCAATTCACCTTATACAAGTACAGTACTGTATTGCAAACTCTTTATCGTGAAAGTGCAACTTATTAAATGTAGGGGTTTTTTTTGTTACATTACTGCACTCAAAAACAAAGCAATGTGAAACTTTAGCGCCTACGAGTCCACTCAGTCCTACTTCTTTTTCAGCCAATTGGTAAGAGAAACAAGTTTGTTTAAATTTAGGGGAGATAATGCTGCCCACTTCTTAATTACAATGTCACCTGAAAGTGAGAACAGGTGTTCACATGGCACTGTTGTAGCTGGCATCGCAAGATATTTACGTGGCAGATATGTTAATGATTTATATGCCTCTTCATGCTTCAGCCATTGTTCCAGAGGACATGCTTCCATGCTGATAACGCTCGTTAAAAAAATAATGCATTAATTAAATTTCTGACTGAACTCCTCGGGGGAGAATTGTATGTCTCCTGCTGTGTTTTACCTGCGTTCTGCCATATATTTCATGTTATAGCAGTCTCGGATGATGACCCAGCACATGTTCATGTTAAGAACACTTTCACTGTAAATTTGACACAATGCAAAGAAGATACCAATGTGAAATTTCTAAAGATAGCGACAGCACTTGACCCAAGATTTAAGAATCTGAAGTGCCTTCCAAAATCTGAGAGGCATGAGGTGTGGAGCATGCTTTCAGAAGTCTTAAAAGAGCAACACTCTGATGCGAAAACTACAAAACCCAAACCACCAAAAAAGAAAATCAACCTTCTGCTGGTGGCATCTGAGTCAGATGATGAAAATGAACATATGTCAGTCCACACTGCTTTGGATCGTTATCAGACACAACCCATCGTCAGCATGGACGCATGTCCTCTGGAATGGTGGTTGAAGCATCAAGGGACATATGAATCTTTAGCGCATCTGGCATGTAAATATCTTGTGACACTGGCTAAAACAGTGCTATGCAAATGCCCTTTCTCCCTTTCAGGTGACATTGTAAACAGGAAGCGGGCAGCATTATCTCCTGCTAATTGTAACCAAAGTTGTTTGTCTGAATGATTGGCTGAACAAGAAGTAAGACTGATTGGACTTTTATGCTCCGAAGTTTTACGTTGTTTTATTTTTGAATGCAGAATTTTTTTGTACACAATTCTACATTTGTAAGTTCAACTTTCATGATAAAGAGGTTGCCCTACAGTACTTGTATTAGGTGAATTGAAAAATACTATTTCTTTTGTTTTTTACAGTGCAAATATTTGTAATAAAAATAAATATGAAATGAGCACTGTACACTTTGTATTCTGTTATAATTGAAATCAATATATTTGACAATGTAGAAAACATCCAAAAATATTTAAATAAATGATATTTTCTTACTGTTTAACAGTCCGATTAATCACGATTAAATTTTTAAGTCGCTTGACAGCCCTAGAAATAATTCCTTCATTCAGCCTAAATTTTATTATGCTCAGTTAGCTAATTTATAACAATGACAGTTGCCTCCACCCAGTAGTCTCAGTATATATATCTCATTCTAGTTACACAGCTTTGGAACTTCCTAGACAATTCCTGCTGATCAAATTCAAGTATCTAGACTTATTAATTTTAAATATAAATGTTTTGGGGTTTTTTTAGTATTCAGAATTCAAGCAGTCTGTCCGGGGTACTTTCCTTATTAGGAATTCTTTAGAAATCTAAAGTACAATTGCTTTTCTGTTCCTCAAAGTAAGCGGACAACTATAGCTGAAGTTTGTAGAGAAAAGTTGATAATACCAGATGGTTTTGTAAGTAAGTGGGACTGAAGTTATAAAGAGGTGGTTTTCCCTTGCCTTGCTTCTGATCACAATTCACTTTATTGACCATAAGGTGCAAGGCATTTCAGTTTTCTGGGGAGAAGGGGGAACTTGGGGCATTTTCTAAGGCTTCATTTGAAAGTCTTTCTTTGCCTTAGAAAATGTTTCTTAGAAATGTAATGTTTGTGTACTGTTTTTTCTTCAAATTTATTACCAACTTTCTAGAAAGTGTAGTTCATTTATTCATTGCACTGATTGTTCATTGTTTAAAACAAGGGGTAGTGATTGAAACAATTACAGATAATTCTGAAGAACAACTGCCTTTACTTTTCCAGCACCACAGAGAGATTGCTTTCTGATACTGAGCTGAGTGCTTCTGAAAATCACGTTGCTGATAAGAAAGCTCCTGGTAGTGAACGAGCAGCAGAGAGGGCAGCAGCTGCCCAACAGAATTCTGAAAGAGTGCGCCTTGCTCCACAGTCGTCATATGTAAATATGCAGGTACCTATCTATACACCCAAATCTAGTGCATTGTTAGCATTGATAAATGTCCAGTGCAAATAATATGAAGTGACTGGCTTGGCTGGCTACATGACTTTTTCAATATTTGGATTGTAGACAAAAACATCGAACAGTGTTATCACCTTCAATTTCCTCCCACAACATGGTGCATTTTCAAACTGGTAATGTAAAGCATAAATATGAGCTTACATCTAATGTTAGATAAAGACAAATTAATCTGTATCTAGGAATATGAGAAGGTGCAGAAGTTGCATAGCTATCTTTCTTCTCTCCAACCCTTCTCTCAGTTCTTTTAGGCTGAATCCAGTTGCCAGTTGATTATAAGAGGCATTGCCTGATAATAGCAAAAAAACAATATGTGTATAAAATGTTTTTCAGGCTTTCTTTGTGAGGTTTCTAGGCTTTTTTGGCTGTATGTGGATTTTAGATATTTTGTGACATGATTTAATGGCGAGAAATATGCAGCCTTCTCAAGTAGGCAATAAAATACATTTGTGACTTTTATAGAACTTTCCTATCTAGTTGGATTTATCCAATCACATTCTTATATATGCACTCCAAAGAAAGTATTAGAGAGCAACAAAATCTGATATTCAAACAAAAAAAATCTCCTGAATATTCTTCTCAAAATTCTGATGAAAGAAAAAAATAAATGTAATACAAATATAAGCAGGGAATAAACTTCATTTTATAGAAATATAGGTCTGGAAGAGACATCAAGAGGTCATCTCATAGACTCATAGACTTTAAGGTCAGAAGGGACCATTATGATCATCTAGTCTGACCTCCTGCATGATGCAGGCCACAAAAGCTGACCCACCCACTCCTGGAATAATTATTTCCCTTAACTCAGCTGTTGAAGTCCCCAGATCGTGATTTAAAGACTTCAAGTCGCAGAGAATCCTCCAGCAAGCGACCCCTGCCCCATGCTGCGGAGGAAGGCGAAAAACCTCCAGGGCCTCTGCCAATCTACCCTGGAGGAAAATTCCTTCCCGACCCCAAATATGGCGATCAGCAGAACCCCAAGCATGCGGGCAAGATTCTCCAGCCAGACCCGCATTGACCATTGATACTAATTACCTGCGATGGCACGTTATTGACCTATTGACTAAAATCACGTTATCCCATCAAACCATCCCCTCCATAAACTTATCAAGCTTAATCTTAAAGCCAGAGAGGTCTTTCGCCCCCACTGTTTCCCTCGGAAGGCTGTTCCAGAACTTCACCCCTCTGATGGTTAGAAACCGTCGTCTAATTTCAATCCTAAACTTCCCGACGGCCAGTTTATATCCATTTGTTCTCGTGTCCACATTAGTACTGAGCTGAAATAATTCCTCTCCCTCCGTGGTATTTATCCCTCTGATATATTTAAATAGAGCAATCATATCCCCCCTCAGCCTTCTTTTGGTTAGGGTAAACAAACCGAGCTCCTCGAGTCTCCTTTCATACGACAGGTTTTCCATTCCTCGGATCATCCTAGTGGCCCTTCTCTGTACCCGTTCCAGTTTGAGTTCATCCTTTTTAAACATGGGAGACCAGAACTGCACACAGTACTCCAAATGAGGTCTCACCAGTGCCTTGTATAACGGAAGCAGCACCTCCTTATCCCTACTAGATATACCTCGCCTAATGCATCCCAAGACCGCATTAGCTTTTTTCACGGCCACGTCACATTGCCGACTCATAGTTGCTGAGTAAGGATTAAGTATATGTAGACCATCTCTAAAGATGCTTGTCTAACCTGTTCTTACAAACTTCCAGTTACAGGGATCGTGCAAACTCCCAAAATAATTTGTTCCAATAATTGGCTATCTTGATAGTTAGATTTTCCTAATATCTAAGCTAAATCTCTCTTGTTCTGTGTGTGTGTGTGTGTGCGCGCACACGTAAAAATGTTACGGTTTTGAGAAGACATGTTGTTCATAGAAATGCTACTTGAGACTTTTCATAAGACATGTCAACATGCATTCGTCTCTTTGTCTGTTAGTGAAGTCCTGCCTGTGGGTTAGGGTGGTCTACACAGGGTCATTCACCAGCAGAGCTATATTGGTATAATTATACTGATATGCTAGTGTAACTCCCTGTGTGGACACTCTTATTCCAGAATAAGAGTGCCTTTTTCCAGTTTAGTTTATTTCACTTTGAAAGTGGTATAAGGGAAAATGGAAAAAAACTCTCTTATACCAGAATAAGTGTGTCCACACAGAGCTTATACTGGCATAAAGTTAGCAGTATAGTCATACCAGTATAGTTCTTCTGGTAAATTTATCGCTATAGATGAGCCCTTTACATAGGCCTCTGTGGCAAATAGATAGATAGTCAATCACTGGTTGAGATTCAAAGCGTTCACCTTTACTATGACCAAAGTTCTAGTCTTCCAAGGGAAAAAAATATCTTCGGATCATTCCAAAGCCCGGCACAACGTCAGATATCCCTTATACTAATCAGACTCTGCAAAATAATGCCTTTTTGTAATGCATATTTGTGTGAACAGATTTACTGATCTGTAATGGAAAGAACGAGTGTAATTTACTAAAGAATTGACATCCAAAAATTGTATACATTTTTATTACTCTCATTGTGATGAGCAGTATAACATGTTTTCCTGTATTACATCAAGATATTTTTCTGAATAAAAGGATTTAAAATGAAGATGGAATCTAATCTGCAAAGGGTATAGTCCAGAGAACTGTGTGCAGAAAAATAATACTTAGTGTAGTTTAATTATTTGTTTTCCTATTATAATTAGACTTGTTTCTTCTAGAGTTTTAAATACTTAGTCAACAGACAATTCAGAAAAAAAGGTCTCAAGTAATGCCTTGTAAAAACACTACCTATACAGACTTCACATACTGCTACAACTTTCCTCACATGAAAGTGGGAGAGAATAATTTACAGTACTAATTAGCTAGTTTTGAATGAATGTTTTACGTATGTCAGGCTTTCATTGGACTACTGTTACATTGTTGTGCAGTGCTTAACATTCTTCCTAGATGAATTCATGGACCGTGATCAAAATCTTTGTTTTTAGAAAGAGCTGTTTACTGGAATGACATTTAGTTAGAGCAGCAATTAAGACATTTTGTGTCCCTTTAATTTTTAGGCATTTGACTATGAACAGAAGAAGCTATTAGCAACCAAAGGTATGTGAAGAAACAGTGATTTCTAACATGCATCTATTTGTCAGTATACTGGTCAAAGAATTTTTTTAAGGTTCAGCTTTGCAGTTTCTATATGCTTTTAGCTAAAATGAAAAGTTGATAAGTACAATGAACTCAATGTATTTATGTCAAATGTATTTTGGGGATATTTTGATACCAGTTCATAGAATATTATTAGTACAAATTCAGAAGTTACATGGTAGATACATTATTAGTAGTACTGTTTATAGACTGCTAGTAACACTGTGGATCTGAAACCTTCTGGTACTTGTAATAATCTTGGGGATGAATTAGTGTCAGACTAATTTTAACAAGCACATTGCACTCATTTGCCACTTCTGGAAAATGGTTGCTTTTTTCTTTAAACATCATGGGCCTGATTCTCTTCACTTCCTTCCGCACAGTGTTTACTACTCTCTAGCTTCAGTGGACTTACTCCTGTCTTACAGTGGTTTAAGAAAGGGTGGGAATCAGGCCCTGTTGGGGATCTGAGATACTGAGAATGTACCGTTCTGTGGGTTAATGTGATCCATTTGTGTCGAGAATGTCAGTATTTGGCCTGAAAGATGCATTTATCTGTCAATGCATGGAGCTTAATGCTTATAAATGTCTTTTTCTTTGTATTTTTAAGCTATGTTAAAGAAGCCTGTTGTAACAGAAGTGAGAACTCCAACGAATACATGGAGTGGCCTAGGATTCTCCAAATCTATGCCTGCAGAAACGATCAAGGAACTAAGAAGAGCTAATCATGTATCGTACAAGCCGTCTATGACAACTACGTATGAAGTATGTAAAATTACAGAACATTTTAAATATGTTTTCAGTAAATTGCATAGGCATTTCTTAAACTTGAATGTTTATATGTTTGTAAAAGTCAGTCTTGTAAATGAGATTCTTAATGGCATTAGTGCTTGAAGATACTGCATAATCTCTTCCAGAAAAAAAGCTCCTTGTATCTGGGCATACTGGGTATATCAAGTCCATCCATAGAGTAATGGGAATTCCATTGTTAATCTTCAGTTTTTAAAAAAAATCTGTTCCCAACAATTGCTCTTGTGGAGCAAATTAACAACAACACAGGAGTGGGATAATTTGGTTCAGTGCATCAGTAAAGGGAAACGGTATCTTACAACAGTCATTGAAATCTAGCCTAGGTTGGTTGCTATGTTTCATGAGATGAAAAAAAAGCCATCCCTTTAGTATGAAAGTAAACTGTAATAAGCTTGCTGCGGGTCATTAGAGTGATGTTTGTGAGTACAGGGGGTGCAGTTCACACTCCCTTTTGTCCCTGGGAGTTGCTGCATTGGGATTCACTCCTGTGCAAGGAGAGTGGCACCTCATCCCTTAGGGACTCTGCTGGGAAAGAGCAGCTGTAAACTTCACAGAGGGCTTACTAGAAGGCCTAAGTCAGGGGCTGCACAGAGTAGGCCCTGTCCTCTGCTTAAACTCCATTATTTGTAATAATTCTGACATTGTTTTGCATTGCATTATGCTGTTGTAACTCTGTCAAGCCCCACCAAAGCCTACCTTCTCTTTATTTCCACCCTCATTCATGTTGTCTAAATTCTAGGTAGGTGGGCTTTTTGGGCAGGGACCTTGACTGACCTGGGAGGCACCTTCCCATACTACTTTGGGTGCAGTACACACATTAAACCACAATAAAGGTGTGGCGTGGAGCTTCCCCTTTGGCATGCATAAAGTTAACATATGTCTTTCAGCTACATGTGGTAGGTTTGCAGTATTGAATGTGTAAGCCAGAAATAAAGAAGAAAAATATGTAAAGCGAAACTCAAAGCCAATTTTCTGATAAAATATACTGCTAACATTACTTATCAGCTATCAGACTGATTTGTCTTTGTATATTTGTTAATCTGTTTCCCATTTTCTCCAAACCATTATACGCTCACTGTTTCTACAAGTTTATTAGCAGACACATTATTCCAGAAGAAAAAGGTTTTGTGCCTTAGTCACTTGGAGCCTGACCAGGCACAAACCACATCCTCAGTTCTTTCTACTGCTAAACTCTTATTTTTACAGTGACTCCAGTTCCCAGTTTGGTATGTGCTGTTATGCAAACATCTGGGGAAAATAAAAATCCTAGATCGCTTGTAATATATTCCCTGGTTCCCTTTGGCAGTTTTCAAGACTTTGTTATTCATATCAGAAAGCACGGCTGGTCACTTTACCCCTTACATTTTCATTCTTGATGTGGCCCAGAAGGGGTATGCTGAAGAACTGCTCTTCAGTAAATAGCAATTGTCTTGATATCCAGTGCTAACATTTGGGAAGTTCATTTGCAAACTAAGCTCACTGGGCACATTTGTTTCTCCCTGTGATATTTTACTTTGTGTTTTATTTCCCAGCATTGCTAGCTCACATTTTATTGTATCACAACTTGTAATCACCACCTTGGTCAGACATATTGTAGATAGTCTTTTATTTTCTTTTAAAACAGACGTGGATTCTGTCCCTTCTTTCACTCCATATTCACCACACTGTCCACCAACCTAATTTGTCCACCTGGAAAATAGTTCTACTTTTCTTTCAAGTGATGGCAGTTATCCTCTGTCATTTTAAATGTATCAAGGAACAGCTCTATTAAACTCCCGTGATCCTCAGTGCTGTTTGTTAGAAAGGGTTGGTGAAGCTGGTGGAACTAAGCAAAATAGTGCTAGTTTAGAAGGCTTACAGGAGTGAGACTGCACAATAGTAAAACGTAATTCCTGTCACTTCTACTCTTTGCTTTGGCCCTGTTCTCATCTACAGTTCCAATTAACTCATTCACTCATCACACTCTCTAATGTCTGAGAAGCTCTATAAAAGATAAACTCAAGAGAGAAGGTTTCATCTGGAGCTTTGTGGAAATGTATCCTTTTCCCCAGTCAGGCTTCACCCCATGCATACTTCATGTATACTGTGGCTGCTGTAAAACAAAACAAACACAAAAAAGTCAACCTTTACCAGCCCTTATCCCATACAATTCCAGATACTGAAACAGGAATTAACTGCAGCATCTCAGATTCTACTGTCTGGTTAATGTTGCTAATTTCTGACTTATTAATGTAGACAATCAAATTTAATGTGTAGACTGTAATTGGTACTGCGGTAATCTGGGCTACTTGTATGTTACTTAGAGATCCTAGGTAGATAGCTGTGTGAGGAAGAGACCGTAGAAAAAATTTTGTGACAAAAGGTTAAGTATATAGAGCATTTTGATGGTTTTTTTTTTAAAAGTAACTTCTGCTTAAACTTATTACAAAAACAGCAGTTCTGTCAAATGCATAAATTGTAATAATTAGTTGGTTCATATTTCACTGCAGGCAGCATATTTAAAATTGTTGAAAAGCTGTCGTGTTAACTGGGCTGCTTCAGAGAAACGAACTGTCAAATCACAATGTAACACTTCTGTTTCTGCAGTAATTTTCCTTGTGGTTTCTTGCAGGGTTCATCGTTGTCTCTCTCACGGTCCAGCAGTCGGGAACATTTGGGAAGTGGTAGTGAATCGGATAACTGGAGAGATCGGAATGGTATCGGTCCCTCAGCTCACAGTGAATTTGTCTCGTCAATTGGCAGCCCCAAGCGGAAACAAAACAAATCAAGTAAGTAATATCTTGCCAGTGCATTTCATCAGGGAATACAATTATGGGACTTGGAAGATTAAGTTTTGCTTTAATCATGAGGTCCTGAATTTTTTAAAATAATGTTAAGTATTTACCTTAAGAAATTGAAAATACTTAATTATGTTAAAGTTTTTTTATGTTTGTAAAAGTACAAAGTAAATAAAAATCTGTATAATACTACATAAAATGTAAAAAAACCCAATTCAAATGTAAAACGTTTAAGGTAAATAATATAGTATAGCCTTTTTTTCTTTTTAAGCTCCCCGCTATCTTACTGTCTTTTCTGTGAAAGTTTCTGTGAAAACAGAGTTTATAAGAGCTCATCCTTGGACGCTCATGATTCTGCTGTGTTATCCAGATACTGCAAAATACTAGCTGAATCTGATGGAGGCTTCCTGATGAAAGTTATGACTTCTTCCAGCTACCACACTTTGATGAATTTTAAGGCATATTATATTGATTTTTAAGTACGGTCACCAATACATTTGGCAGTGCCTGGCAGATTACCTTGGACACCTGTTTCCTTGGATCCAACCTGCAAATCTTACAAAGATTTTTTTTAAACAGATTTTAAACCAGTTTTCTATGAAAATTGTTTTACACCCAAAAGCAGTTTGCAACTAGTCTGTCTTCTATGAATAGGTTGAGCTTATTTTTTTTTTTTTTTTTTGCCAGGAGGGAGGAAGGGGTGGAGCAAGAAAGTGAAGAATGGGAGATTTTGATTTATAATAAGTTAGGGCTACCATATGTCCGGATTTCCCCGGACATGTCTGGCTTTTCGGTCTATAAATAGCCGTCCGGGGGGATTTTTAAAAATATAAAAATGTCCGGGATTTCCCCCCGTCGGCTATTTATAGACAGAAAAGTGGCGGCCAAGCACCGCTGGGCAGCCAAAGCCCCTTCCCGGCTCCCCCCATCCCCTGCAGCCTTACCATGCTGTCCGGCCCCGCAGCTGTCTTCCCCCTCCTCCCCTCCCCTGAACGCTCCGCCCCCCTGCTCCTCCCCCTCCCCCGCTTCCCGCGAATCAGATCTTCGCGGGAAGTCTGAAAAGAAGCAGGGGCAAGTGGGAGGCAGCAGCAGGTAAGCTGGGGCGGGGGGGGGCGCGAGGAGGAGAGCTCCGGGGAGGCGTGGCCTGGGCCGAGCAGCGCCCGGCGGGCCGAGCAGCGCCCGGCGGCCCCAGCGGCTCCGGCCCAGCTCGGGCCCCAGCGGCTCTGACCCCGGTTCCGGCCCAGCGCGCCAGCCCGGCGCCGGCCGAGCACCCCCGGCCTGGCCCGGCTCGGGCCCCAGCAGCGCTGGCCCTGGTTCCGGCCTGGCTCGGGCCCCAGCACCGCCGGCCCTGGTTCCAGCCGGAGTGCAGCCCGATTCCTAGGCTCTTTAAAGCCGGCCCTGGTCAGGGGACAGGGAGGGGGGGTTGGATGGGTCGGGAGTTTGGGGGGGGGGCTGTCAGGGGGGCAGGGGTTGGGACAGTCAGGGACAGGGAGCAGGGGGGGTTAGATGGGTCTGGGGTTCTGGGGGGGCTGCCGGGGGGGCAGGGGTGTGGAGAGGGGTTGGGACAGTCAGGGACAGGGAGCGGGGGGGTTAGATGGGTCGGGGATTCAGGGGGGCAGGGGTGTGGAGAGGGGTTGGGACAGTCAGGGACGGAGCAGGGGGGGTTAGATGGGTCTGGGGTTCTGGGGGGGCTGTCAGGGGGGCAGGGGTGTGGAGAGGGGTCGAGGCAGGCAGGTAGCAGAGGGGGTTGGATGGGTCAGGAGTTCTGGGGGTCCTGTTAGGGGGCGTGGAGCAGTTGAATAGGGCATGGGAGTCCCCGGGGGTCGGTCTGGGGGCAGGGGTGTGAATATGGGGTGAGGGTGTGGATAAGGGTCGGGGCAGTCAGGGGACAGGTAGGGTCGTAGGGGGTTCTCAGGAGGGGGCAGTCAGGGGACAAGAAGCAGGGCGGCTTAGATAGAGGGTGAGGTCCTAGGGGGCAGTTAGTGGCAGGGGTCCCAGGAGGGGGCAGTCAGGGGACAAGGAGCGGGGGGGG